TTTTTGGGGCTCCCAAACTAGGTATTTGGCATTGATGTTAGTAACACCGCGAGTTCAAATCAGCCCCCAATAAGATTGTCCCCACCGTGTATTGGGAATATCTATACAAGGCGGGGATGAGCGGTAATCTTGTGGGGGGCTGATTTGTTCTCTAACACCGCACCGTTTTTTTCATATGTGAGTTGTAAGAAAATGGTGCATATTTTTTATTTGGAAGTGGTTTTGTCATATAGGTTGTTTTATAGTAAACAGCACTGGTTTTATTTAGTATTATTACATCGTTGGCAGCAATAAGCTGTTTTCTGAGAAAACGTTAAATTTGATGTTGGTTCAAGTCACACTTTCCTGATTTTTAAGACATGGTCTGAAATAACGGTTTTTTATTAAAAAAAAAAAAAAACGATATCAAATAAGATGTTTTCTAAAACATCGATTTTTCTGATGTGACACCTACATGACACCGTTTTTCTGAGAAAACGGTATGAATACCAAATACCCACAAAAACAATGCTCTAAATATTAATCTGGATGACAGTTTTAGCAAAGCAGGTCCGGAATCATTTGGGTTCTGCAGTAGCTGCTTCTTTTGGGGCAGCCCAAGTTTCATCTCCATTTCAAGCTGAAGCCTTGGCATTCCTAAAAAGGTTTGGATCTTTTGAGTAGTTAAATCCAGCTGAAGCAATAGTTGAAAGTAACTGTGCCAACATCATTCACTCACTGAAAATTGGGGACAGCAACATGCACTATTTCGTTTCAAAGATATTTTGGATGGTAGTAAAAATTTAAATGTCTCTTTTAATTTTGTAAAAGGTCTTTAAACTGTTATGGTTCCACGCGTAGGATCCTGTCACGGGTCGGTTCACGGTGAGAAAGCCCTACTTTTCCTTGTGCTTTCCCTTGCGTGCAGACCCTATTGCGGAAACTGAATGGGTGATTTGTTCAAGAGACCACCCGAACTCTCCTCACTCTTTTCTTGACTCGAAAAAAACTGAATATTTTATTTCAATTCGTAGCTCCTTAAATAGGAGATTACAGAAGGAAATTCCTAATTAAACTCAAACTCCTAATTACCTACTCCTAATGGTAACTCACTCTTACTTAAGATAAGATAAGGATAAGATAAGATGAGGGATAAGGGATAAGGGATAAGATAAGGATAAGGTAAGTTGGCGGCGGGTTGGCTTGACGTGTCCAAATAAGGGTGGGCCCACCCCTATGAGCTGTCGTGTGGGCCCCGCTCTGCTGCTGCTTTCAGGTGCGTGCACACGGCTCATGGTATTGCTGCCGCACGGTGCGTGCGCGCCTCATGGTGCCGCTGCCGTGCGGTGCCAAGCGTGTGCGCGGTGCGTGCTGCCTTGCAGTGCGTGCGGTGCGCGCTGCTGCCTGGCAGTGCGTGCTGCGCGCTATCGGCGGTGCGTGCTGCTGTGCAGTGCTGCCAGCCGGTGCTTGCTGTTGTGCGTGCTGCTGCCTATGACTGCGCTGCAGTGCGCTGCCAGATGGTGTGACCACAACATTACACCCCTCTTGGACTACGAGCTTGTCCTCAAGCTTGTGTTCCGGATACATGGCTTGGGATTCTACGAATGGCTCAAATGGCTGCACACTATTTCTCAGTCCACCAACAATATGAACAACAGGGACTGCCCCGTCTCTCAGTGCATAACGCTGGACTATTTGATGTAGACCCCAACCACCTTCTTTAGTTTCCAGCACCCAGGCGTAACCATGGCTTACAGTGACTACATGCTCTGCTGCACTCAGGCCAGCCGCAAGGACATTAAAGTGTTCCCTACCTCCTGGGTCATATAGTTTGAAGTAGTTTTGTGGGAGATCCACATAACAGAAATCACGTACTGGACCCCGACCCCAGTGTGCTATGTTGTGGATCATAAGAATGCACCGGGTATGCTTACAGTAGAGGACCTCAAGAGCGGCCTTACCGAAGAGGAACATGCGTTTTGAAATATCCTCTCGACCTTCCCCATATATATTTTCCTCGATATTACGAAACATAGGGTTGTCCATGAACATAAAATCTATGCCATCAATATAAGCTTGGAATAAAGTTACCTTTATATCCTGCCCCTCCACCTTACATCTCTTGCGCACTCCTGTTTCTTGGATTTCTGTATAGTTACCATACGGTGGTGCCGCAACCATAACTTTATGTCCACACCAAGCCAAGGCCTTCCAGCAACATTGCCAAGCCCACCTGCCTTCGTCAAAGGAGCGCATTCTACAGGTTCTACTATAATGTTCGTGACATTGTCCCCGGCCAAAGGAGGAGACTTTACAGTTTCATCCTCCGTGCGTTGATCCTTGGAAATAACTGCGGCTGTAGGGGCAACGATCTGTTGTTCGCTGCATGCTTCTGCCCAGTCTGGACGGCGTCTGTTGGTGTTGGCGATTCCCTTCGAACTCATTTCTTTGTTGGAGAGGAATGCTTCCAGCAGGCGTCGCATCTCCCGGACGTCTTCCCTGACTTCACGAACCTCCATGCTGGTTTCTGCAAGTTGGTGTTCTAGTTCGTGGACCTTGGAAGACAGCTGCTCCATATCGCCCATGACGTTTGGCTCTGATACCAATTTGTTATGGTCCCGCGCGTAGGATTCCGTCACGGGTCGATCCACGGTGAGAAAGCCCTGCTTTCCCTTGTGCCTTCCCTTGCGTGCAGACCCTATTGCGGAAACTGAATGGGTGATTTGTCCAAGAGACCACCCGAACTCTCATCACTCTTTTCTTGACTGCGAAAAACAATGTTTTATTTCAATTCGTAGCTCCTTAAATAGGAGATTACAGAAGGAAATTCCTAATTAAACTCAAATTCCTAATTACCTACTCCTAATGGTAACTCACTCTTACTTAAGATAAGATAAAGATAAGGATAAGATAAGATGAGGGATAAGGGATAAGATAAGGATAAGGTAAGTTGGCGGCGAGTTGGCTTGACGTGTCCAGATAAGGGTGGGCCCACCCCTATGAGCTGTCGTGTGGACCCCGCTCTGCTGCTGCTGCCGGGTGCTTGCACGCGGCTCATGGTGCCGCTGTCGCGCGGTGCGTGCGCGCAGTGCTGCTACTGCGTAGTGCATGCGCGCCTCATGGTGCCGCTATCGTGCGGTGCCAGGCGTGTGCGCAGTGCGTGTTGCCGTGCAGTGCGCGCTGCTGCCTAGCGGTGCGTGCTGCGCGCCATGGTGCTGCTGCCGTGCGGTGT